TCACTGGAGCAAGCAAACCTCCTGTTCGCTTCACTGCCTCCGATGCCGGCCGCCATCTTGGCTGGCAGTTAATTTGCATATCTCGCTGATTAGCCAATGGGAAGGGTAACAAAGTTATGGTTAATTACCATGTTTCTCTATTGTTAGATAGGAAGACTAGAGGCCCGGTACACAAAATTCATGCATGGTAGGGGTCCCTTGGCCCGGCCTGCACCCTCTCCAATCTGGGACCCCTCGGAGGATGTCCGACTGCCGGTTTAGGCCCACAGGATCGGGCCTAAACCGGCAGTCGGACATCCCTCTTGCAATCTGGGACCACTGGCTCCTAACCACTTATCTGCCTGCCTGCCTGATGCCCCTAACTGCTCCCCTGCCTGCCTGATTGCCCCTAACCATCTCTGCCTGCCTGCCTGATTGCCCCTAACTGCCTCTGCCTGCCTTTCTAATCGCCCCTAACCACCTCTGCCGGCCACCTCGATTGCCCCTAACTGCTCTTCCCTTCTGGCCTAATCACCCCTAACTGCTCTCCCCTGCTGGCCTGATCGCCCCCTAACTGCTCCAACTGCCTCTGCCTCGGCCCCTGCCACCGTGGTTTTGTCTGGAAGACGTCGGTCTATCTGGTCTAATTAGCATATTACCCTTTTATTAGTAGAGGTTTGGGATCCTCCTCAACCATGTCCCAGGAGTTCAGATATTTTTCTTCTCCATGCTAAGGACTGCCTAGGAATAGGACTTATAGTAGGTGTCAGGAGATCCCCCTGATGAACTTGCTTGTAATGCCAGCTCAGGATGCTATCACAGATCAGACCTTGCAGAGTCTCATCTCCTATCTTTTCCACAAAATTACCCATTCTCTCATTGATTCTTTTCTTTCAGTACAATTTTCTGGAAGCTGATGGTGAGGGTCCCTTACTTCTTGAATGCCATTGTTAGCCAGATCAAGAGAGTTTGGGATTTATGATATTTTTGTTCCAATACAAATCTTCACTTTCATTCCTGAATGGAGATATAATTTTCAGGAAGAGAACATATGATAGAAAGGTTTACCTGCAAAGGATTTTTATGCTTTGTCACTCCAGTCTACATGATTACTTAAACACATTTAGAACTGTAGGTAATGGAAATTAATTTTATGTACCCTTGTGTATTTAATGTACAGTATATTGCCTTAACTGTTTTGCTCATGGGTGTACTCCCCAGGACTTAGAACTAGGCTTGGCACCTAGTAGCATCTCAATTAATAGTTGTTGATATGGAATGAACTAGGTCTAATATGCTGTGTCTCAGTGAATGAAGAATCCAGTGGCCATTTGTAACTATTTAAATTTAAATTAATTTAAATAAAATTAAGAATTCAGGTCTTTGGAAGCATTATCCATCTCAAGTGCCCATTAGCCATATATAATAACACATGAGCACAGTAGGTCTCCTTTCCCCTACTGGACAGTGCAAAGGTAAGTTTTTCATTATTGCACACAGTTTTGTGGGCGTTGCTGAGTAGAAACATCATGCAAACTGGGGAATTCCATAATTTTATGCTTGATAAAATTAGTTTAGGAAAGAATGAGGAGAAAGATAGATGGGGAGGAATATGGGAAATAGTTGGAAAAGGAGTGGGAAGAGGAAAAAGGCATATAATCAATTTTCACAAAAGTTGTGTTATATATACAAGGTAATGCTTCCTATTTAATTTTCAGTTAAGTCAAAGGGTCATTGTAATGAAAAAGAGTCATTCTTACCTGTATGATATTGCCACCCATGATGTATAGGTAATCCCCACAAAATATTTTGTTCATTTTCTGGTGCAAATTTTTCAAAATACTTGGCTGTTTCATTCAATAGGATTTTATATGCTCCTTGTCTTTCAAGGTAATGCCAGAAATTAATGATGTACTTTCCATTTTCTATCTTGTAATCACTAAGCTTATCAGGACAATCTTTCCACAGAGGGGGATATGCATCTGAGAGACTGGATACTACTGCAAAAGAAGCAAAATTACAGCCAATCACTACACAAGCCCAGGAAAATGGGAAGTCCTGGTATTTAACCTGGAGATTAAAATTATGACAAGAAGTTAATGAAATTGGAGGAGGAAGTCATATGATTTTTTTTGCACATCTGCTAATAAAAATTCTTTATTATCTTTACTAAAAATGATAGGGTGGAGAGAAATAAAGATAATGAGGTACCTATCTTGTTAATGATCTTCCAAGTAAATAATGTTGATTATATATCAGTCTTTAGACTTTTTAGTAATGCTTGGTTTCTTCCTAAATTTATTTCTGTCTTTCATATTAACTATAATAATGAATTATATGTCATCTCCAGAGGTATTGTATTTTTTAAAAATATGTTTTTATTGATTTCAGAGAAAGGAAGGGAGAGGGAGAGGGATAGAAACCTTGATGATGAGAGAATCATTGATCAGCTGCCTCCTACATGCCCCACAATGGGGATCGAGTCCACAACCCTGGCATGTGCCCTAACTGGGAATTGAACCCTGACCTCCTGGTTCATGGGTCAATGCTCAACCACTGAGCAACACAGGCCGGGCAAGAGGTATTGTATTTTAAAAGATAGCTGTTGATCTAAACTCATCTCTATTGGATGGCATTTAGTAACTTAAAAGTATAAAGTAAATAATTTTAGATAGAATTTGAAAGATATTTTAGTGGTATTTTTTACTTTACCAGATCTTTTTTACATGTCAGTAATGTGCAAGCCCAGACTTGTATGTCAGACCTGTTAACCCAAATCCCACATTAGTAGGATCTGAGGTAAAGGTAGTTTATTTGGGGTTACAGAAAAAAAGGAGGGAGAAAGTAAGGAAAGGAGGATAAGCTAATACAGGAAGAGATGGTTGGCTTGCCTCCACTAAGGATATGGCTGCTTAATATTGTCTTGGAACTAATGAAGACCATTATTATGAAAGACCCAGTGGCCTTGAAAGAAAAAAGTGAGCGGAATTTTGTCTAATCATCCACTGATTAAGATGACCCAAAGGGTAGGAACTCTCCTGCCATTCTGCTTGCACAAGTCGGAGTGTCAAACAGTTTCTTACAGGTGTCCCAGGGAACAGCAGAGGAGTTGAAGCCCAAGGCAGTAGGTAAGGGGTACAGGTTAAACTGCAATACAGCTGCCAGTTGCACCTGCACAAAGCCGGTCTAAACCTGTGTGGAACTGGTCCAAGCAGCACGGAGCCAGAGAACCCAGAAACCTGAAACTGCCCAACAGGAATGCACAACAGTCACAAGACAAGCTGCTTTCTCTGGCCAAGCACTTGGGAATGTTCTCTGACCACAGTGAAATCAAGCTGGAAATCAATAACAGAAGGACAAGAAAATTACCTACAGCCCAGCCGGCATGGTTCAGTGGTTGAGTATCTACCTATGAACCAGGTGGTCATCCCCAGTGTGGGGCATGCAGGAAGCAGCCTATCAATGATTGTCTCTCATCATTGATGGTATCTCTCTCTCCCTCTCCCATCCTCTCTTAAATCAATAATAATATATATATTTTAAAAATCCTATTTCCACTTGTTAATATATAAACATGCTATTGATTTTTGTTTTTTCACCTTGTATTGTAGGTAATTTTCTTTTTTAAAATATATTTTTATTGATTTCATAGAGGAAAAGAGAGGGAGATAGAGATAGAAACATCAATGATGAGAGCGAATCATTGACCGGCTGCCTCCTGCAAGCCCCAACTGGGGATTGAGCCCACAATTCAGGGCATGTGGCCTGACTGGGAATCGAACTGTGACCTCTGGATTCATAGGTCGATGCTCAACCACTGAGCCATGCCAGCCAGATATGGGAACAGCATTTTTTTAAGTGCCATTTACAATAACTTCAAAAAATTTAAATATTTAAGTTAAAATATAAGAAAACATGTAAGGAATCTGTGTGATGAAATAAATCAAAGAAGACCTAATTGCTTATAGAGACATACCATACTCATAGTTTGGATAATTTAATATAGTAGAGATATCAATACTCCCTACATTTATATATAGGTTCCACCTAATTCTTATCAATAGCTCAACAAGGTTTATTTCCCTCAAATATAAAGAATTTTACTCTAAAATTTATATGGAAAGAGAAAGACCCTATATTATCTAAAAACTATTTTGAACTATAGGAATACAGCAGGAGGAGTCATTTTCCCTGGCTGTATACATAGCCACAGAAATCAAGAAAATGTGGCACTGTTGGAGGACTAGGCACATAGATTATGAAACAGAATAGGGAAATGAAATAAATCTACACAAATATGAGTAATTTTTGACAGAGATGCAAAGGCAATTTAATAAAGGAGGGGTAGATTTTTGAGTAAGTGATGCTAGAGCAATTGGACATCCACAGGCAAACAAATAAACCTCAGAGTAATTCACATGCCTTATACAAAAATTAACTCAAAGTAGATCAGGAAGATAAATTTAATACACAAAACTATAAAACTTCTAAATAAAAGAGGATAAAAAATTTTTGAAACCTATGATTAGGCAAATAATTCTTAGACTTGAATCCCTGAGCACTTAAAAGTAAAAGTTCATAAAAAATAATTTGATAAATTGGAGTCTGCAAAATTTCAAAAATTTGCTGTCTGAAAAATAGTGTTAAGAGGATGAAAAGATAAGCCATAAAAGGAAAACTGATCCATGGGACTCAGGAAAAAGTCTTTAAATTTCCCTCTGTGAAAGAGTCTGTTATGAGGAGGAAAAGATAAGCTACAGACTAAGCAAAAGTATTTGCAAACCACATATCCAACAAAGGACTTGTGTCTAGAGTCAAATTCTTAAAACTCAACAGAAAGTAATCAAGTTAGAAAATTGGTCAAGACATGAATAGCCATTTTGCCAAAGATATATAGATGTCAAGTAAATACATGAAAAAATGTTTAGTTAGCATCTTTTAGCCATTGAAGAAATGCAAATTAAAACCACAATGAGATATCACTGCATACCTATAAGAATGGTTAAAATAAAAAGTAGTGATAACACAAATGCAAGTATATTTATTTGTATGTTGCTGGTGGGACTGTAAAATGGTACAACCAATCTAGAAAATAATTTGGCAGTTTCTTTTAAAAGTGAAGACCTTTTTTTTAAGAAGTGAAGAACAGATTAGTCATTTCTAGGGGTCAGGGTAGGGAAGGGATGGGCTAAATGTGGGTATAAAAAGGTAGAATGAGGAAGTCTTGTGGTGATAGTAAAACTCATTATCTTGATTGTGATAATGATTATATAATGCTACACATGTGATGAATTTGCATAGAGATACACACATATATATACAGGCACACAAATGAGTACAGGTATAACTGGTAAAATCTGAATAAGCTGTATGGCTTGAACCAATATTAATACTTTTGTTTGATAATATAAAATGTTCACATTGAGGGAGTTTAGGTAAAGGGTGCCTGATACCTCCCTGTATATTTCCTTACACTTTCCTATGAATAGATACTTATTGTGAAATAGTTTTATTAGAAAGTGAGAATACATATATGTTATTTTATTTTATACAAATTTGTGCACGGGTGGGGTCCAGCTGGCCGGCCCCAATCAGGACCAATCGGGCCCAGCTGGGCAGGAGGAGGGGACTCTGGAGGTTGGCGATCCGGCCCCGCCCCCCTGGTCGAACTCCCAGTTGAGGGGACAATTTGCATATTAGCCTTTTATTATATAGGATGGCTAATAAAAGATAGCTGTTTTGCACGCCTCCGTACCTCCAGTTTCCTCTGTGGGGTAATAAAGGTTTTAAGTAGTTGATTTTTGCTAATTTCTGAGTAGAGAAATGGCATGCCAGCATGTATTTAATTTGTATTTCTCTTATCATGAATAGGTTAGCACAAAGAATATAACTGTCAAAACAGATTCACATGAATCTGAAATTTTTCCCAACCCGAAGCTTATTAATAATTTTTAGGACACAAGCAAGAAGCAGACATACACAGAATTGATTTTGGAAGGAAAGAAGGCTTCAGACACTGCATCCTAATTGTCTTTTTCTCCTGCACGAATGTGCAATTTGCATTTGGTTTAAAAGACATGTTCTGAACAGCATATGCAAATATACTGTCCTCAAAGGCAATGATTCCACTCTTAGGATTCCCAGTTTTATGTTCTATTACTAAGACAGGTTTTAAAAAAGCCTATGAAATTAATTTTCATCATCAGCTCAACATCATAAATCCATAAATTCTATGTTTATTTGCAATAAGCGATCTAAACAGATGTGATCCATCCTGCCTGATAAAAGCATTTTTATAGAGTAAGTCCCTGTTATTGTTTCAATAGAGGCCCAGTGCACAAAAATTTGTGCACTCGGTTGGTCCCTCAGCCCGGCCTGTGCCCTCTCGCAGTCTGGGCCCCCTCAGGGGCCCCTTCCCCTGGCTGCTGGCACCAGTTTTCCTCTGGTGCCCGGAACCCAGGCCTTCCTTCTTTGCCGGGAGGGGCCGGCATGGCGGGCTTCACTCTTCACTCTTCGCTCGCCACACCGGCCTTCGCTCACTGCTCCTGCCTGGGGCCAGCCAGCTTCGCTCTTTCGCTTGGCACCTACATATGCAAATTAGCCGCCATCTTTGTTGGTGGTTAATTTGCATATCGCCCTGATTAGCCAATGGGAAGCATAGCGAAGGTACGGTCAATTACCCCTTTTGTCTTTTATTAGATAGGATAGCTAGCTTGTGTACTGGGAGATGTTTTAAGGGAGGACAAGTATATGAAGAGGGCTGGTCTAAGTCAATCATAACCAAGGGCATTCTGCTTAGCAAGGGATGAGACAAAACCTGATATTAATTTACTTCCTAATAAAGAAAGTAGAGCCTTTTTTCATGTTTAAGTGACATTTGGATATCTTTTTTTATGTTTTATTGATTTTTTACAGAGAGGGAGGGAGAGGGACAGAGAGTTCGAAACATCAATGAGAGAGAAACATCAATCAGCTGCCTCCTGCACACCCCCTACTGGGG